GCAGAAGGGAGATGTGAAGACAAAGCTTCATGTCATCCAGACTTGATATTTTTAGTTGAAGGCATGCTCTGGTTGTCCCTTTCTTACCCCGGTTATTCTATTTAAACAGAACTCTGATATCCTGGTCTTGTAATTAGAATTTATTTGATCTTGCTGAGATTTTGCTTTCAGCTCTGAATTACTACAATTACTGCCTCACCTTGCCTTTTAGTTTCATTGTTCTTTGGTTTTACTGGCTGATAGGTTATATAAAATTAAACAACAAGCATGTAGATGAATTCATCTATGTTTTCAAGATATCATTTTTTATAAATGTTGAAAATTTTTATTTCCACGATTGTTTTACAACACATCAAACTCTCTAAAGAATACTAATAATCCTTCTTCATTATGATTTCTGTTGTATTGTTTTATTGTTTATGGAGAGTTAATTTAATGTACTAAAATATAGCGTTCTTGACATCTTTTTATAAATACTGAGAAATATACTTGTCATATGCTTGTGGGTTGCTCTTCTGCGTATATGACAGCATAGCTACATCAGTTTAATTGACCTTGGCAATCTACATCTGCTAGTGATGTGTCCCTGAGGGACGGTTTCTGCAATTTTAAGCTGTGGCTTATTGAAGAACTTGTGTGTCACAATACAATTAAGTCTATATAAAAAATCATTTCATGCATAACATTAAATTGACTAAAAGTTCCCATTTCAAAACCATTTCTCGTTATAAAGCTACCTCAGAGTGTCTTTGTTTTTTAAATAAGCTCGTTTGAACATAGTAGTAATTAAAGCAGAAAATTAACATAAATCTTGAATGTTTGGTATGAATTAAGGACATTTACATTCTTTTTAAAGACTACATAAAATTCCAGGCACCATATCATTTAACATATTTCTCTTCCATTTGCAGAATAATATAGACTGTGAAAAGCATGTTTGGGGATTCTTTTTCAAGTTCTTTTTCTGTTCAACTGTGGAGCTACTGGGACATATGCTACAGTATCCATCGAGATGCAATCTCATGGAAATCTGTGAGAAAACCATGCATGAACATAACCGAAAGTTCCTCCCCCCCTCTATTTTATAAACAAGAAAGAAAAAATACAATCCTTCTATTAATATTCATTAAACACTTCATAGGAAATGGCAAGCAGTTATTTGGTTTGCAAATGTAAATATACATTTTTCATCCGCTTATGCTTTCACTCCTTCCAAGCTGGATAAAGGCAGAACAGAAGATGTGCTTCTGAGATTTATTTTCATTGTATTCCAAGTTAAATGTATCAGCAGAGATGTAAGAGAGCTGTGAGGAGTTCATAGAAGAACAGTTACAGGATGAGGAGGATGAAAGTAATTATTTTCTGACAAATTATGAATAAAATTCATGGGTTTTTTTTTTACTGAATCCTTGATTTGGCTTCTAAGTTTAAAAAAATATGGTTAAATAATGAAAATAATGGCTACATTTCAAAGGAGTTGTTAAAATTATGAAAAGTATCTGGATCCATAATCAGATTCAAGGGAGTTTCAATAAATTTATGAATACTATGTGAATATTACATACGCTTAAGTAGAATGTACTATGCCTACACGGAAATGATCCTAACCATTTGATGTTCAAGTTGTTATCAACAGTCATCTTGGATCAGCTGCTTAGTGCCCCTGAAAGAAAACATTTCTGACCTATGGGAACAATGCTTATATTTATATAAGGTGACCATTTCTACGTTTTCAATGATCCTTTTTGTAGATATTAACTCAAATACTAGATACTAAAACAGACACAAACAATTTCTATTTTGGTTGATGTTAAAAACATCATAACCAGCTGCTTGATCTCTCATCGATTTTTCTTTTTATTTTTGGAAAGAAATTAGGAATGTGTTAAACTTGAAGGATTAAAAAAAAACAGGGAAATTCAATAGACAGTTTTCAAAAGGAGGCTGAGGTTATTTTTTGATATGAAAGAAGATCCTTTTCTATTTTGGAATATACTATCAAAGAATTGTTTCATTTTTAGTGAGATTTGCTAGATATTACAAATGATAAAATAATTAAAACAGTTGATATTCAGATTTAAGACTTCCAAGGATAAATGAATCAAATATCAAGGAAAGATAGATTATTTTTAAAAATATACACAATTATGTATGAATGTTTAAGGAAAAATAATAACACAACCTGTATACAATGGAAACATCCATGAATAGAAGAGTACTTTTGAATTCACAAATTAATGCTCCTAGGGTGGCTTGTAGTGTTGATGCTAAATATTTTAAGAAATGCAGAGTTGTTTATTAAACTCATAGTAACATCTCCTGACTACTTATTGACTGAATTTACGATGGAGCTCATATATTAAAGTAAATCATACTATGTACATTTTTGCATTTTAAGAAATTACAAAGGACATTCTTGTGAACTTCACTTTAACTTATCGAGCATATATTCAACACCTACTGTGTATAATACACTGTACTCAACTGAAGATTCAAATTTTATGAGGCCTGAAGCTTATATAGTTTGAGGGTTCCTCTTTCAGAAAAGAAAAATTTACAAACTCAGTATTAGGAACAGGGCTTTGAAAGAGGCCCATGCAAGTGAAGGACCCTAACTTAAGCTTCAATTATGTCACAATACAAAATTGTGTCTAGATATTTGTGAGGGATTGGTTCCAGGACTCTCAGTGGATACCAAAATCCATGGATGCTCAAGTCCCTTATATAAAATGGGATATTATTTGCATATAACCTATGCACGTTTTTATTTCCGGAAAGAAAATAGGAATTTCTTTCTTCCCATATACTTGAAATCATCTCTAGATTATTTATAATACTTAATACAGTATAAATGCTATGTAAATAGATGTTATATTATATTCTTTAGGGAATAATAATAAAAAAAGCTTATACATGTTCAGTACAAGCACAACCATCTATTTTTTTTTAATATTTTTGATCTGCAGTTGTTTGAATTGTCAGATGCATAAATCACAGATATGGAGGGCCAACTGTATATATGTATTTTACACCAATAGATGCTGGGGGAATCAAAGATAACTAAGGCATAATCCTTACCTTGCTCAAGCTGAGAGTGAAATCTGTATTAAATTTCAAGGATATTCCTGTAAAAATTGAGATGAATATATAAAAGGGCTTTGATCTCCCAGAGAAACAATTTTCAATTCTTTCTCAGTTAAAATCATCTTTATTTCAGATCTCTATGTGAACCAGAAATGTATCAATGTTTTGGAGAAATAAGGTCATTTCTTATGGAAGAGAATTATTTTTACCCCTTGCTTAAATGTATAAAACTCATTACATATACCATTCAATGATGATGTGTTTTGGTTGCCATTATTAAAATGGGTTGAACTGAGGAGCCATACTCACTATTCACTTTCTTACAACTCAGGTAACTGTTAACAGATGGTAGTGATGATACGTTTTGCAATGGGAACAAATGATAATCTTCTCTTTTCCTATGAGCTTTAAAGATATTAGAAAACTCTTCTCAAAATGCCATTCTCCTTTGAAAATAATTACATGAATATTTAATTTTTCTCTCAATGAAATGTGGCAAATACAAACTATAGAAGATTTTAAAATAAAAACCTGAGCGTTGACCTGTCTACTCATTCATTCATTCATCCATCAATCTAGCTGAATGTCTCCTCTGCTCCAGAAACTGTACTAGACTGTGTAGTACAGGGGTGAGCAGCATAGGCATATTTCTGTTCTCATGGAATCTACAATCTTGTGGGGAAACACTATCAGCAGTAGTCCCTTAATAATTTTCTACAATTCTAATACTCTTTAAGAAGAAAGCTATAAATATATACCAAGGTTTATTTTTATTTTATTTTTTTCTATTTTGCTCAGAAGAAATCTGTTTTAGGTATCAGAATAACATTTTTTTACATTTGGTTATTTTATTTTATACTTAATTTGTTAATCAATTCAACAACTAACTTTTCTGTTCCAGGATCTCCCCAGCTCTCCTCCTTTAATTTAAGTTGCTATGAATTAGAGTAAAGAATAGGTACCTTAGTTTGTCTGAGATGCTGTACTTAAAAATCATGACACAGATACCTGGAGAGGACATTTAATCCTAACCACTGGCGCAGTTTCCTTCATCAAATAGGGTGTTGTCTACTTTTCTTCATTTTTTTCTCTTGATCAATGCTTTCTATAAGTTGTATTCTTTTTTCTCTTTTAAATATAAGAATTATTTTTCTAGTCAAAGTTTGCTTTAGATATTTTTCTTAAAGGAACTCAACCTTTCTCTTGTCCCATGACACTTTTAGATCCATTGGAATGCAGCATATTTAGCAAATAATTATGAAACTATTTTACACAGCAATTTCCAGGAGGAACTAATGGTAATACTTGTATTTGTTGATTTTAACAAAACAAACATAGCAGAAATTGTTGGCTAAATGTAACTGTATTAGTGGGTTCATTACATTACTTAATAGTAAATCCAAATAATTTGATGAAAATGTTGAAAACTGTTTCATTTTGCTTTATAAAATGTTTTGTTTTAAGAGAAAGAGATTCATCAACCCGAATTCATAATATAATTTACAACTGTGACATACAGGAACGAGTTTCAGATCATACGAGTAGTAATAGATTTGTGAAAATAATGGCTATGGATAAATAAAGTTTTAGGAAATATATTTTATCTCTATTATAATAACTGTACTTTCCTTCTCCATGGATCCGTACTTCTTAGACATAAATGCTGGATGTGAAACATTGCCCAAATCGGTGGTCTTTAATTCCTACATGTATGGTGTATTTCAACTTGATTAAGTCAGTACACTTGAATGTGTTGTTAACTTCGAAATTTCATTAACTTTCCATTTTTATGCTTCACTAAAAACAGTTACTTGAATCCCTAGAATAATAATTAAATAATAATTTTTCTAATTTTCAAATTATTGATATGTGATGCACAGATTAATCATTGTCTATTATTTTTCACTTTTTTTTAGTGAAAGAAGCCTTGAGCCCTGTAAAACTTAACAGATGGAATCTCCCAGAAGTAGATCCAGAAACTATGCAAACCAGTGAACCATGGGTATTTGCAGGTGGTGATATCGTTGGTATGGCTAACACTACAGTGGAATCAGTGAATGATGGAAAGCAAGCTTCTTGGCACATTCACAAATATATACAGGTAGGTATTTGGCATCACTTTCGGTTAATTCTTTTCTAGTGGATAAGTATTAATACTTCTTAATTTATTTTGGATATTCATTATATGAGCATTTCTATAAGATATATACTAAGTATATATAAAATATGCCATACGCATATTTACTTGGATCAAACTTTAGAAATATGGACTAGATGGTAGAACTATGTAGTGGATTGAAAATTCATTATGCATTTCTGCTAGTTGAATACCCTGAAGTCATTAGTCCTGCTGTGATCAAAATATTTATTAATGTATTAAATATATAGATAATATGTTTATTAAATTTCATAGCACACAATGTGATAGGAGATAGAATGTATATTAATTATGATCTTACAGGGTCCAGAAAACTATCTGGTCTGTCCATTTGGACCAGATAGGGTCCTATCCATTTCCTAAATTCTCTGTACCTAAGTGACAAGAAGCAAATATTTTATGAATTACAGCTGTAATTTTTTAACTATTTAGTTTTATGATAAAATGCAAAATGATTAAATGTGAAGTTGAATATACTTTGGTGACTATGTGGTCTTGGGGAGAAAAAGCTGTAACTACTAGGACTTAGTAGTATTACTTTTTGACTAAATATTTTCCATCTTGTTTTATAATTTAATTAAATGTAGATACAGTTACCTCATTTACATAGAATGTTTTTGGAAAAGTTTGCTCTTCTTAATAAAATTCCTCTTCTCTCTTTCCTATTCAGGAAAAATTTTATTCACACCATGCCTTTCTTCCTCTCTTCTTTAGTTTTCTCTTGTTTCCCACACGCTAACCAAATTCACTTTGTCTTTAATGCTTCCTTAAATTTCCCCCTCTTGCTCGCCATGACCATGTACTCTATTCTAGTGATTATATCATCTTTTTAAAGTTTAATTCACCTACTATTCACCCACCTGCTCCCTGTCATCTCTGAGTCCTGGGGCTTGAGATGTTGAGTCTGGGCCAGAGTATGGGGTCTCAGAAGTTGAGGGTTTCAAGAATGAGTGTAAGCAGCCTATGGGTTTTGCATAGATACAGAGCTGTGATTTTGGAAGCAGCCTCGGGGGAGATACCAAATCTAAAACTAAAAAATGTTCAAAAGTTACAAATCAAAAGGGATGTGTAAAAGCAAAGAAATTAAAAAAAGAAAAATGTAATTTTAACAGACACAAACCAGGGAACCCAAGGGAGACAAGTAGGTGAGGGGTGCAGGCTGAGTTTCTGCAGTGACCGAAGGATAGCCACACTGTGCTTCGATGAATCATCATGGACTTACAGACAGACACACAGAGAAAGCAGCTCCAGACAGCTCCTGGGAGTGGACAGTCTCCTGCTTTGGCTCTTTTTGCTTTTTCCGTGCCCAAACCTATCACCCTATGCTTTCATTTTCTCATTCCATTCTTATTTTCTGATTACTCTCAGGGTTCTCTATGTCACCTCCTGCTGCGTAACTCCCTAATCTATATTTCTAATAGGGCCCTCTCTTGAATGATCCAGCTGTCTGCTGGACATCTTTCTATGCATGTCAAACCTACCTTTCAGATGTACTAAACATCTTCATGTGGACGTCTTATCTATTCTTCAAATTCACTGCATTTAAATATTAAATATTCCTTCTCAAACCTGTTCCACCTTCAGTATTTAACATTTCTGAATTCCAGGTTCAAATCCACCGGGTTAGTAGTCCTCAGACTGTAGGTTACTCAGACTAATAGAATTTTCAAAATCAATTTGGAAATCAGTATAGGGTTGATGGCTTCCTATTTTACTAACAATATTATAACAAACATTCAAACCAAATGAAACTGTAACATTTACTTACATAAATTAATAGGACATTTTATGAAAAAAGTAGAAAAGGATATAGTCTCAGAAAAGAGATAATTCTCATAAAAGCACAGTTAAAAGATTTATACTAGTGCATGTATACACACACACATATTTTATACATTATAAAGCAGGATTTCTTTATGCAGCTATCTTTACAAACTACTTATCTAAGTTTTCTTTCATTCTTCCCGCTCATATATAATTGATCAATCCTATCTCTGTAAAAACCTTTTTATACACTAATCTTAGTTTGCTTATCTTTGATGTGGAGTTACAATTTTTGGTTGACCAGACATCTTACCAAGCAGCCTGTTAGCTCCTTGAAGAAATGAAAGTGGAATCAGGGGATAAGAGAAGAGGCTCTTGTGTTAGCCCAGAGGAAGCCCCATGAATGTGTGAATTCAGTTTGTGGAGTGAAAACGGTGGGAGGGCAGAGATGCTAAAGAGAGTTGAAAAGGTAAAATTGAACAGTGGTCAGTGAAGGATGGCATGTTTTAAATTTTTTTTTCAAATGGATCAAGTATAATTTAATCCATTTATAGATTTTAAATTAAAATACATAAAGAATACTCAAATATATTTTATAATTGTAGTTTTGCAGTGTTTCACAGTTACCATTCTAATCTTTTAACTTCCCTGAATCTGATCAATGTGTACTGGCAAAAAAAAATTAGCAATCATTTTACTTAGCTTCCACTTAATTCATGAAAGGAGAGAAACAGACCTTTAGTTATAATGAAGAAAAACATGCATGTTCTTTAAAAAAAATGCATATTAGGAATGATAGTTTTTTGATATATAAAATAAAAAATTCATACCCTCTAAGAGTTTTGAATTTGGCTGAAGGATTCAAACTTGCCAAACTAAGTGCTGAATTGTATTTTAAAACAGGGTATAGATAGAAGGTAGGTAAAAATCTCTATCAAATAAAATCAACATTTCCACCTTCCTGCCAGGGTGTTAGATGCAAAGTTTCTAACAGTGATAAGGCTAAAAAGACATATATAGAAAAAGTGAGATTTTTGTCTCTAACACTGTCCTGTCCCTAACTTAATTCTGGTCTCTATCACCTCTCTTGAAACTGCCTCCACTTTCTCCCCTGCAAAATCCAATGCTCCTACACTGAAGCCATGGTCATCGTTCTAGAACCCAAGTTTAATCCTAACTTCCTCATTTGAAACTAGTCAACAGTTCCTCTTTGCACTCAAGATAAAGGCCAAACTTGTTAGCTTGTGATGTTAATTAGAATTTCTTCCAATGGAACAAGATTACTCCTGAAATATGGGCCTTTCCCCTACCCCACCCATTTCACCAGGCTGAGGCCCACTTGTCCTGAAGGTTTTGCTTCCTCCTCCTATTCTGAGGAGTTTGTGACATGGTCTTCCTGGTGTGTGCCTTGACTGAAGTCTGCTTACTGGTCTGCCTCTTACACAAGCCAATGACCATGCTTATTTATTACTGTATCCTCAAAATAAAGAATGTATTCATCTATTAAACAGAAAAAATATAGAGTGAGATAATTCATTTTAAATGAATTTAAAGGAGTTAAGAAAACTAATAGGTTTGTATGATAAGTTCATTAGCACAATAAATAGTGTTTTCTTACATATGTAGCATTTGTTAAGAAAAGTTTCTGTAATGTTTGAAGTGTCTTCATGAAGGAAGGATTATAACACTTCGTCTTATATTTCACATTAGTTCATTTGGGGGAATATATAACACTAGATAGTGTATTTTAAAAATTGATTTAATAAACACAGTATGAATTAATGCATGCAATTGTTGCAGTTGGGTATTTAGAATTTCTTTGTAATATGCTTTTTGAGATACATGTGGTTATTTAAAGACATTATGTTGGGACTTCAGTAATTCCCACAGTTGTCTGAAGAGAGCTTCACTTAAATTTCATTAGTTAATTTGCTCAATTACCACTTATTGAGTACCAGCTGTTTGGCCCAATACTTGACTTTGGGAGGGTACCAAAATGAATAAATGAAGAGAGATATAATATAGTGGTTATAAATTTGGGCTTTGAGTTAAAAATCAGACATTAGACCCAGTTCCAATACTTTTAAACCACATGACCTTGGGCAAGTTACTTCATCACTCCAGGGCATGGTCTTCTCAGGGGTAAATAAGCAATTTATTTATAAATAAACAACAATAATTAGAGAATGTCCTTCATGTGAGAGTATTTATAGAAAGCTCGTAGTACAGAGCCTGTTCTATAAATATTTGTTGTTTGTATTGGTATTGGTGGTTATTAGAGATCATTCTCTTTGGATTGTTAAAATGAGATAAAAAAAAAAATTAGAAAATGGGAGATCTGAATAGAAACCCAAAATAGAGAATCTAAACAGATGAAGATTGAAATAGGCTATTTCAGGTAATAATAAAAGTGTTTTATTTAACCATTAATGTGTTCATCCATATATATCCATCTGTGTATCCAAGAAATTGTGCATGCATGGATTCATCCATTCATTGAATAAACAATAAATTAAAAAATAGTACTATCTCTTATAGATAGCATTAATCACTAGGTTTATAAATGTGAATTAAAACAGGAAACTGGCAATTAAGAATCTCACGGTCTAGTAAGAAAATCAGTTGTGTAAATATAAGTCTAATACAGTATAATTGACACAATAATAAAAAATGTAAAGGTACAAAGGTATAACGGAAGAGGTAATGATTGATTCTGTCTAGATGTGGGTGTCAGGATGTGGAATCAGCAAAGGCTTCACAAAAACCAAAGTACAAATAGAGAAAGAGGATAAGAAAAATTAGAAGAATACTGAGTAATTAGAATTTCTGGACTTTAAAGAGTTCTACTGGATAAGATTTTATAGGTTGCTCCCTGTACAAAGGGTACCCAAACAAGGGTTCCAGTTGGCTGAAATCAAGGCCAACGTCCACTCGTCCACTCACCAAACAACGGACCTTTTGTCATGCTGCTTCTATTCAGAGGAAGGAGTGCCTTCCTTGAATTTTCACAAAGGTACTCTCTGCTTGCTCCCTAAGCTTGCAACTTCTTTTTATTTCACCAAAGGGCATAGTCTGGACTAGTGGAGGCCCTGACATAGAAATTATATGGGGATATTGGATCTACAGTTATACTGGGGCTAGAACATAAGACCACCTAGTCTGGGTTTTCATTTGGAGTA